CGTGTCCGCCTCTTGCACCCCGCTCGTGGCGAAGTAGTTGTTGAGCATGAAGATCCATGTCCGCACGTTCGCGTCGCGTTGGCTTGAGTCGAACGGCTCGGGCTTCTGCGGCTTGAGCGCGCTTCGAGGTTCCGGCAATGCTTCCGCGCCAGTCGGCGTGTTGGGTGAAGGAGATGGTGCGGCATGACCATGAGATATCGACGCAAATTTACGAAGCTGTTGCATTTCAGCCCGTACCTGACGATTTTCCAACGTCAACTGTTCGAGTTGGCGCACGAGTTGAGCAAACGTGTTGCCCATGTCGGTGAGGAGAGTGTTCAGGGTCTTGTCCATGTTGCTCGACGACTCCAAGTCTGCAAGTCGGCACCGCGGGACGATGATGTCATAGTCTCGTCGGTCGCTTGTTGGAAGTCGCTCCCTGCAAAAGGCTCCTGATACCAAGTGTTAGGCCCGCTGGCCTAAGTCCGCTAAAGAATTAGCAAGGTTGACTAAGTGAAGGATGAAACACGGTGGAAGACTTTGGCAAAAGAACTAATAGCGAAATAGGCGAAGAAATTACTGAGCAATTGAAGAAGAGTTTAATGAGAATTGGTTGATATTGGGGAATACAAGCAAGGTTGATATAGCATGCAAGATCGAATGATGGAAAGTACTTCGTGGGACTAAAAAGTAGAAGCAAGAAAAGTAGAGTGCCACGTGGCACAAGGAAATCAAGGAAGATAAGGATAAGGGTGAGTTGGAAATAAATCCCCCCGTAACAGTCCGCGTCTTATGAGTTGTAAAAGAGAGTTATAAAACATAACGAGGCTTATGACTGAATGAACTGATAATACAATGAAGGCACGCGCAAATATATTGACTAACCTAGGTAGGAGGGAACCTCGGGAAAACAAGGTTGGGTGCAGGTTTGGCGATTGAAAAGCCGCCGAAGGTGACGCGGGGTAGCCTCGGCATCGTGGATGTCAGCCGAACGTGCGAAGTCCGATTGTCGGGATTGTACGCATAGCAGTCAACCCAGTAAGGAAGAAGGGAAATTCCTTGCACTACCCCCCCCCCCCCCCCCCCTTCCCCTTAAGAAAGGTGGTCAATATTCGCAGCTCGCTTGCGGGCGAGATAATCACCAAGAAGCGGGAAAGCTTCGAGCGAGGCGTATGACACCCAAGTGTGATGAAATGAGGAATCAATGAACTAGGAAAGGGTGGGTACAAGTAGGAAAACCAAGAAATGTTGTACTCCATATTGTCTGCCCCAATACTGCCTACACACACTATAGCATATAAGTTTGACACACCCCCATAGGAAAACTGGGGAAGAACAAGAGGTCACAAGACCAGTCAAGCAAAGCAAAAAAAACTCAGGGTGGATCACAACGTCACCACCCAGTCCGAGCACAAGTTCAAGGCCACAAGGCTAGTTCAAATGCAATATCATGTATAAAGGAAAACAAGCAAGTGCAGGTATAGAAAGATCACATTACAAGCAAGGTAAAGAAGTGAGCAAGTGAGGCCAAGAAGGCACAAGACCTAGCATCGTACAGAAGCGCTGATGATCACAAGGCGGAAGTGCGCAGCTGACCTAGCATCGTACAGATATCAGCAGCGTTGGCCTCAGAGGCCACGTAGGCAAGGCGCAGCTGACCACGCTGCTGCAGCTCACGAGCAAGGAAGTAGCGAAGAGCAATGTGCTTCGTTCTCTGCTCCAGTTTGTGCTCCCGACACAAGGCTAGCATGGCCTTGTTGTCTACGTACAGAACTGGAGGAGAACGAGGCGGCTCTCCTAGGTCAGTCAGCAGGTAGGTGAGCCAGCGTAGCTCCTGTGCAGCCATGGCTCCCGCATAGATCTCAGCCTCACAGCTAGAGCCGAGAACAGAAGACGAGCGGTTAGACCGCCACGAAACAGAGCCGGAACCAAGGCTGAAGGTGTAACCCTGTGACGACCGCTGCGTAGCCTGGTCCTCAGCCCAAGAAGCGCCACCGTGACCTGTGAGGACCACTCGACATCGCCCTCCAAGCACTAGCCCCATGCCCGACGTACTGCACAAGTAGCGCAACACCCTCTTCATTGCATCCATGTGCTCCGGTTGGTGTCTCCCAGGAGCAACATAGTGTGCCAAGATGCTATGAGGGTATGCAAGGTCAGGTCGTGTGCAGGTCATCAGGTACATGAGGCAGCCAACAAGCTCTGGGTACGGTCCACTCGGCTCTACGGACTAATCCGAAATCAGAGCTGAGAGCGAGTGGCGAGTAGACATAGGAGTGGCCTGAGGCGAGGAATACGAAAATTCGAAGCGCTGAAGGACCTGCTGCACCATGTGTGACTCAGTGAGGGTAATGGTGCGCTGTGCTCTAACCCGGGTGATCTGCAAGCCAAGGTAGCTGCGCAGTTCACCCAGGTCTGTGCACGTGTGTCTCTTCTACAGCTCGAACTTCACGTGGGCTAGTCCGGCAGTGTCAGCAGTGGCAAAGACCAAGTCGTCGACGTACACGAGGATGTAGAATGGCGGCAAAGAGGTGTCGGTGCGTAGAAACAGTGACGGGCCCGCTGTAGAAGGAGCAAACCCAAGAGCCGCAAGTGTAGTCCTCAGTGTGTCGTGCCACTCATGGGGCACCTGGCGGAGACCGTAGACTAGCCGCCAGAGGCTCCACTAGGTACCACGAGGAAACGACCCAGTGAAGCCAGGTGAGCGGCGCAACCAAATCTCCTCGTGCAGGCTGCCCTGCAGGAAAGCTGTGCTGAAGTCAAGAGAGTGAAGCTCGTAGTCGCGCTGAGCGGCTATGTGCAGCAGCACCTAAAGAGTGGTCATCTTCGGGGTGGGAGAGAAGGTCCGAAAGTAGTCAACTCCCTGCCGCTGACTGAAGCCTCGAGCCACGTAACGCACCTTGAAGACAGGCGGAGAACCCGGCGGCCAATTCACCCTGAAAATCCACATGCCACTGACGATGTTCACCCCAGGTGGGGGAACCTCGTCGACGTAGGTGCCTGTGGACTTCCAGGAAGCCATCTCTGCGTCCATGGCTGACTGCTACTGTGAGGAGTAGGGATCTTCGATCGCCTCAGCGTACGATCGAGGAGTCGGGATGTCTGGTGCATCCGGGTCTCCCTCAGGGGCAATCAGCGTGGATTTGAGATGAGGCAAAGCAGCAGTAAAACACTGGAACTCCTCCTGCTTGTCCTCAAAGACGTCCGTGCTAGGAGCACACTCACCCCCGACGGACGGAGGACAGACAGACTCAGACTCAGCAATAAGACTAGCAATGTAGTCTAGACGATAGCGAGCAGCAATGTCAACAAGCTCAACAACTAAGGCAGACGCAGTAGTGGACTCAAAGGAAGGGTCAGTGACAAAAGTAGCCAAGAGACGCGTGACAGTAGGACTTGCAGCACGACTACTATTGTGAGCAGCACAAACGGGCGACGCAGGACGAGACGCAGGCTCACGACACTCAGCAAGCCCTCCAGTAGAACCAGTGTAGGGAGAAGGAGCAGGTAGGGGGGAAGCGGGCTGTAACTGTGATCGCGACTGGACAGGTTGTGGACACTATAAGGGAGGAGCAGGACCCCCAGGCTCAGCACCCCCAGGCTCCGCACCCCCAAGGTCGGCACCCCCAGGCTCAACACCCCCAGACTCAGCACCCCCAAGCTTAGCACCCCTAGACTCAGCACTCGCAAGCTCAGCACCCCTAGACTCAGCACCCACAGGCTCAGCACCCCTAGCAGCACCAGAGTCAACAGCGACCTCGACAGGCTCGACTGCGTCTACCTGGGACACACCTGACGGGGCAGTACCCTGAGGGGGGAGAGGGTCTACCGGGGGAGGACCTGGCTCAAGGAAGAGCGGCGGCGTGGGGAGGGGCGCAGTGCGGTAGGGGAAGAGACGGTAGTAAGGCACCGACTCGTCAAAGGTGACGTCCTGGGGGGACAGAACACGGCGCGAGGTGGGGTGGTAAAACTGCCAACCAGGCGCGTCAGGGGGGAAGCCAAGGAAGACGCAGGGAACCGCACGGGGGGACAGCTTGTCCGCAGACAAGTCGCGGACAAACGCCTGAGATCTCCACACATGGAACGCAGACGCATCGCCAACCTTCCCCGTCCACCTCAGGGTGGGAGAGGTCTCCGGCAAGGAGACACGGGGCTGAAGGTTGATCTGATCCGCTGCGTACTGAACCGCAAACGACCACAGAAAATGGGGAGCAGCCGCATGGATCATGGACGTACGAGCGACGTCCATGACCATGCCAATGCGGCGCTCAGCAATCCCATTTTGTTGTGGAGAGGCCGGAAGCGTGAAGGTCTGGTGGATGCCCTGTGCACGACAGAAGGCTCCCAGAAGGGCAGAGGAAAACTCTATGCCTCTGTCAGAGTGCAGACGCAGAACAGGAAAGTCTGAGCCGAAACTCTCTTTGAGCTAGAGACGAGCTACGCGGATCCAGTCGATCAACACCCCAGTGACGTCACCCTTGCTGCGCAAGGGGAACACCGTGGTGTAATGCGAGTAGTCGTCAACCACCAACAGGAAGTAACGCTCGTGACCCTGGCCACGGACGCGGGCGGGGCCCCACACGTCCATGTGAAGAGTCTGCAGCGGAGCCTCTGTCGGAGGAAACTCGGAGGAGTGAGGGGCGGCGCGCTGCCGCCCCTCGACGCAGGGAACGTAAGTAGGGGCAGGCCCTGGAGGGAGGGACCGGGGGAGACCAGAGACAATGACACGGGAGGCTATACCTCAGAAACGAGGCAGGGAGGGGTGACCAAGGCGGTGGTGCTAGAGGAGGGTCTGGTGGGACAGGAGACGACATGAGCAGGGAGCACACTCAGGACCAGACCTGGACGCTGCAGCAAACACCTGACTCGACGCATATATCTGACCAGACGCAGCAACCGGAGGGGACTCAGTAGTCAGTGTGTACAGGCTCGACCCCGGCCGACGGGTAAACGTGGCCAAGTGTTGGCCCATCCGAGCACACGTACAGTGGGTCACCCGCGGACCCGCAGGAGTGAACTGGTCAACCCCCCCATCTAAACAGGGTGGCAGAGGGGGCTGCCGGACACGGTAAGACAGCGGAGAAGTGAGCAAGGACAGGACCCCCAGAGGGGTCCGCCAGGGAGACTGCAACCGGCCAACTAAGCGGCGTAAGCGTGGTGCGGTGTCGAAAGAAGGAGCGGGAAGCACCCGAGTCAAGGGTGAAGGTGTGTAAGGCCTGAGCCGACGTGGTACCTGAGAGAGCAGACTCACCGGCACCTGGGGCAGCAGACGCACAAGCACCTAGAGCAGCTGCCTCACCAGCACCTAGAGCAGCAGCCTCAATGACAGGGTCAGGCGGAACACACAGGTAAGAGTCACCCTCATCACTAGTAGACATAGCATACATGGCAGCAGGAATAGCATCATAGTCAAGATTAAAGATGCAACCCCCGCCCTAGACAGATCTCCCCAGCGAGGGATCTCAGTGACGTCAGGGAACTGGTGACGCCAAGCGTCCGTCAAGCGGCCGAAGCAGCGCTGGGTGGAGTGCGGGCCCCCGCACTGCTCATTAGCGCGGTTGCCAGTACGGAGGACGTAGGTACAGTGACTAGTACCCCCACCTCGCTAACGCCCAGCGTACCACTCACAAAGCTGCTGGGGGGACGGGTTCTCACAAGTGCGCTGCTGCTGCTGGCGCTCACCACCACCTAAGTCGCCCCGCTGCGCAGAGCCACCCCGACTAGCTCCACCTCCTCCGCCGCCACCTCCGCCACCGCCGCCACCGCCTCCTCCTCCGCTCCCACCGCCACCGCCGCCGCCGCCTCCGCCGCCACCGCCGCCACTGAAGCCCCCACCTCCGCCACCACTCCCACCACCACCCCCACTCCCTCCGCCTCCTCCACCTCCACCTCCACCGCCCCCGCTAGCCCCTCCAGCGCCCTTGCCCCCCTCGCCCTTGCTGGTGCAGCGTCGCCCGCTATGGGCAGACGCAGCTCCGACTGACTCAAAGCCAACGAGGTCGACGGCAGCAGCAGAGGCAACACAGGGCAACACGGGGGAGGGGGAGCACCCCTCAAAGAAGGGGGCACGAGGGTCACCACGAGAGGCTCCTACAGCAACTATACTCTTCTCAGCTGCCAGGAGGCGCTCCTCGAGGAGGTCAACGGTGAGTGTGGTGGGGCAAACAGAGAGGAAGTGGTCCCTGACCGAGCGAAGGGAGTCTGGGAGCCGGGTGACTATGTAGTAGAGGGTGATGTACATGGGGGGGGGGGGTTCTTGGTGTAGAACTCAGCAGGAAGAGCAGCTCGGTAGCGGGTGTCACTAGTGCGAAGGTGCTTAATGAGGCCAGCAACAGTGGGAAAGGCGACGAGGTCAGGGAACAGGTACGGCAGCATGAGGCGGCTAAGGGCAGCAGTGGCAGGGGAAGAGTAGCGTGCAACTACAGCTTCATACAAGGTCTTAACACTCTTGTACTGACTAAAGTGCGCACGCTCAGCGGTCGGTAAGTGGCGATGCACAGCAAGACGGGCTGCAGCATCGCGGGTGGCCCAGTGTGAGCGAACAGTGCTGTCAGCATCAGCAGGCGAGGCAGGAGAGGCACCAGAGGTGAGATCGAACAGGGAGAGTCCATCTGCCCTATCGCACTGTAGGAAGAGCTGGAGGTCATCGACCCAGACCTCGAAGTCAAAAGCATGACCTTCAGCATCAAAGGTGAGGACACTGGGGGTAGCCATGACAACAGTGGTCTAGCAGGGAGTGCTCTCACTTGTCCGAGTGGGTAGGGCCGGGGCGCGCTGGAAGGAACAAGGCGGCAACCGCGGTGACAGCGGCTCGGCAGTGGTGGCTCGACGGCGGCCTCGGCGGCTTGGCTGCTAGGTGGCTCGGCGGCTTGGCGGTTCGGCGGCTCGGCTGCTGGGCGGCTCGGCGGCTCGGCGGCTCGGGTGCTGGGCGGCTCGGCGGTTCGGCGGCTCTGCTGCTCGGCGGTGAAGGGGTCGGGGAGGGACCGAAAAGGGCGGCGACAGGACCGCAAGGGGTGGCGACGGGGCCGTTAAGGGCGGTGATGAGGCAGTGAGATTCGGCGACGGGGCCGCTAGGGCAGCAACGGGGCCGCGAAGGGCGGCAACAGGGCCGCGAGGGGCGGCGACGGGGCCGGGAGGGGCGGCGACGGGGCCGCTAGGGGCGGCGACGAGGCCGCGTAGGGCGGCGACGGGGCCGATAGGGGCGGCGACGGAGCCGCTAGGGGCGGCGACGGGGCTGCAAAGGGGCCGCGAGGGGCCTCGAGGGGGGCCGCGACGGGGCCGCTAGGGGTGGCGACGGGGCCGCGAAGGGGCCGCAAAGGGGCCGCGAGGGACCTAGGAGGGCGGCGACGGGGCCGTTAGGGGCAGCGAAGGGGCCGTTAGGGGTGGCCATGGGGCCGCTAAGGGTGGCGCAAGGGGCCGTGAGAGGGGCCTCTAGGAGGGCGCGATAGGGCGCTAAGCGCAGGGGCGACTCGACGAGAAGGCGGCCCACGGAGCGTGCCTCGGGCAGGGGCGACTTGCGCTCCGGTCAGAAAAAAAAGCTCGATTCCAAGGGTGGGCCCTAAGAAGCGTTCCCATTAGGGAACCTGCTCTATACCATGTGAAGAAACGAGGAATGAATGAACTCGGAAAGAGGTGGGTACTAGTAGGAAAACCTAGAAATGTTGTACCCCATATTGTCTACCCCACTACAGCATACACAGTCTATAGCATATAAGTTTGACACCAAGTGCCGTCCTCACAGGTGCGGTCGGTCCAACGGACCAAAAAGTCTATGTGGCGATCAGCGGCGTCAAGTGTTAAGAAACGAGGAATGAATGCATTGAGCAGAATGAGGAGTACAAGTAGTAAACCCTAAAGTGTTGTACCCCATATGAACTGCCCCACTACAGCCTACACAGACTATAGCACATATGCCTAACACACGCCCATAGGCAAAGTGGGGAAGAACAAGGGGTCACAAGACCAGTCAAGCAAAGCAAAGCTAGCTCAAGGTGGATCACAACGTCACCATACAGTTTGAGCACAATGCCAGTTCACATGCAAGATCATATATATAAAAGTATACAAGCAAGTGCAGGTATATAAAGAGTACAGTACAAACAAGGTCAAGAAGTGAGCAAGTGAGGCCAAGTAGGCACAAGGCCTAGCATAGCATAGAAGCGCTGATGATCACAGGCGGAAGGGCCTTGGTAAAGATATCAGCAGTGTTGGCCTCAAGGGCCACGTAGGTGAGGTGGACCTGACCATGCTGCTGCAGCTCACGAGCCAGGAAGTAGCGAAGAGCAATGTGCTTCGATTTGTGCTCGTGTCTGTGCTCCCGACACAAGGCCAGCATGGCCTTGTTGTCTAGGTACAGAACTGGAGGAGAATGAGGTGGCCCTCCTAGGTCAGTCAGCAGGTAGATGAGCCAGTGTAGCTCCTGTGCAGCCATCGCCCTCGCGTAGATCTCAGCCTCACAGCTGGAGGTGAGAACAAAAGATGAGCGGGTAGACCGCCACGAAACAGAGCCGGAGCCAAGGCTCAAGGTGTAACCGTGTGACGACCACTGCAGAGCCTGGTCGTCAGCCCAAGAAGCATCTGCGTGACCTGTGAGGACCACTCGACGTCGCCCTCCAAGCACTAGCCCCATGGCCGATGTACTGCACAAGTGGGGGAGAATAAGGGGTCACAAGGCCAGTCATGCAAAGCAAAGCAAAGCAAAGCAAGCTCATGGTGGATCACAACGTCACCACATAGTCCGAGCACAACAGCAAGGCGACAAGGCTAGTTCACATGCAACATCATATATGTTATGGTGAACAAGCAAGTGCAGGTATATAAAGAGTACAGTACAAACAAGGTCAAGAAGTGAGCAAGTGAGGCCAAGTAGGCACAAGGCCTAGCATAGCACAGAAGCGCTGATGATCACAAGCGGAAGGGCCTTGGAAAAGATATCAGCAGTGTTGGCCTCAGAGGCCACGTAGGTGAGGCGGAGCTGACCATGCTGTTGCAGCTCACGAGCCAGGAAGTAGCCAAGAGCAATGTGCTTCGTTCTGTGCTCGTGTCTGTGCTCCCAACAAAAGGCCAGCATGGCCTTGTTGTCTACGTACAGATCTGGAGGAGAACGAGGCGGCTCTCATAGGTCAGTCAGCAGGTAGGTGAGCCACTATAGCTCCTGTGCAGCCATGGCCCCCGCGTAGATCTCAGCCTCACAGCGGGAGCCGAGAACAGAAGACGAGCGGGTAGACTGCCACGAAACAGGGCCGGAGCCAAGGCTGAAGGTGTAACCCTGTGAGGACCGCTGTCTCGGCTGGTCTTCAACCTAAGAAGTGTCTGCGTGACCTGTGAGAACCACTCGATGTCGCCCTCCAAGCACTAGCCCCATGCTCGACGTACTGCACACGTAGCACAACACCCTCTTCGCTGCAGCCATGTGCTCTGGTCCGTGTCTCCCAGGAGCAACATAGCGTGCCAAGATGCTAAGAGGGTATGCAAGGTCAGGTCGTGTACAGGTCATCAGGTACATGAGGCAGCCAACAAGCTCTGGGTACGGGCCACTCGGCTCTACGGACTCATCCGAAGGCAGAGCTGAGAGCGAGTGGCGAGTAGACAGAGGAGTGGCCTGAGGCGAGGAGTACGTGAAGCCGAAGCGCTGAAGGACCTGCTGCACCATGTGTGACTGAGTCAGGGTAATGGTGCGCTGTGCTCTGACCCGGGTGATCTGCAAGCCAAGGTAGCTGCGCAGTTCACCGAGGTCTGTGCACGTGTGTCTCTTCTGCAGCTCCTACTTCACGTGGGCGAGTCCAGCAGTGTCAGTAGTGGCAAAGACCAAGTCGTCGACATACACGAGGATGTAGAATGGCGGCAAAGAGGTGTCGGTGCGCAGAAACAGCGATGGGCCGGCTGTAGAAGGAGCAAACCCAAGAGCCGCAAGTGTAGTCCTCAGTTTGTCGTGCCACTCACGGGGCGCCTGGCGGAGACCATAAACTGGCCGCCTGAGGCTCCACTTGGTACCAGGAGGAAACGACCCAGTGAAGCCAGGTGGGCGGCGCAGCCATATCTCCTCGTGCAGGCTGCCCTGTAGGAAAGCTGTGCTGAAGTCAAGAGAGTGAAGCTCGTAGTCGCGCTGAGCGGCTATGTGGAGCAGCACCCGAAGAGTGGTCATCTTCGGGGTGGGAGAGAAGGTCTGAAAGTAGTCAACTCCCTGCCGTTGACTGAAGCCTCGAGCCACGTAACGCGCCTTGAAGACAGGCGGAGAACCCGGCGGCCGCTTCACCCTGAAAATCCACATGCCACTGACGATGTTCGCCCCAGGTGGGGGAACCTCGTCAACGTAGGTGCCAGTGGACTTCCAAGAAGCCATCTTTGCGTCCATGGCTGACTGCCACTGAGAGGACTAGGGACCCTCGATCGCCTCAGCGTACGATCGAGGAGTCGGGATGTCTGGTGCATCCGGGTCTCCCTCAGGGGCAATCAGCGTGGACACGAGATGAGGCAAAGCAGCGGCAAAACACTGGAACTCCTCCTGCTTGTCCTCAAGGACGTCCGTGCCAAGAGCACACTCACCCCCGACGGACGGAGGACGGACAGACTCAGACTCAGCAAGAAGACTAGTGGCGTAGTCTAGAGGACAGCGAGCAGCGAAGTCGACAAGGCAGACGCACCGGTGGACTCAAAGGAAGGGTCAATGACAACAGTGGCCAAGAGACGCGTGACAGTAGGAGTGGCAGCACGAAGATAGTCAGACTCAGGGTCAGGACGGACACGAAGAGAGGACTCTAGAGGAGACGGCAACGGGACACGCAGAGAAGAAGTGGAAGGACGCAGTGCCATGTGGTGTGTGCTTGCAAACGTAGGAGGACGCGGAACACGACGACTAGTGCGAGCAGTGCGAACAAGCGACGCAGGACGAGACGCAGGCTCACGATGCTCAGCAAGACCTCCAGTAGGACCACTGTAGGGAGAAGGATTAGGAAGAGGGGATGCGGGCTGTAACTGTGACTTCGACTGGACGGGTTGTGGACACTCTAAGGGAGGAGTAGGAGCAGTAGAGGGCAGGAGACCAAGAACCTGTTTTAGGAGTGGAACGAAGTACGACCTCGGCCGCGTAGCGCCTCCAGAACAAGCAGAGATGGCACCAGTACCCCCAGCAGCAGCACCAGCGCCAGCCGCACCTCCAGCTCCAACAGCGTCAGCTCCAGCACCCTCTGACGCACCAGCGCCAGCAGAAACACCAGGGCCAACACCCCGAGTAGCTCCAGCTCCAGCAGCTCCAGTAGCACCAACTCCAGCAGGACCGGCAGCTCCAACACCGCAAGCAGCTCCAGCAGGACCAACTCCAGCAGCTTCAGAAGCACCCCCAAGTCCTAGCAGCTCTAGTACCGCCAGTACGAGCACCTCCGGAACCAGCAGCAACAGTAGTGCCTCCAGCTCCAGCAGCACGACTCCAGCGCCGGGCAAACCACTCGCGCAGCTCCTGCGGAGAGAGTAGCTCCCGCCTCGACGAAGCACCGCCGGCGGCCACACGAGCAGACCCAGCGCCCCCAGGCTCCGCACCCCCAGGCTCCGCACCCCCAGACTCAGCACCCCCAGGCTCAGCATCCCCAGTCTCAGCACCCCCAGGCTCAGCACCCCCAGACTCAGCACCTGTAGGCTCAGCACCTCCAAACCCGGCACCTGCAGGCTCAGCACCTCTAGCAGCACGAGAGTCAAGAGCAGCCTAGACAGGCTTGATTGCGTCTACCTGGGACACACCTGACGGGGCAGGACCGTGAGGGGGGAGGGGGTTTTCCGGGGGGAGGAGCTGGCACAAAGAAGAGCGGCGGCGGGGGAAGGGGCGCAGCGCGGTAGGGGAAGAGACGGTAGTAAGGCACCGACTCGTCTAAGGTGACGTCCAGGGAGGACAGAACACGGCGCAATGTGGGGTGGTAAAACTGCCACCCAGGCGCGTCAGGGGAGAAGCTGAGAAAAACGCAGGGAACAACACGGGGAGATAGCTTGGCCGCAAACAAGTCGTGGACAAACGCCCGAGATCCCAAGACCCGAAACGCAGACGCATCGCCAACCTTGCCCGTCCACCGCAAGGTGGGGGAGGTCTCTGGCAAGGAGACCCGGGGCTGAAGGTTGAGCTGATGCGCCGCGTACTAAACTGCAAACGGCCAAAGAAAATGGGGGGCAGCCGCATGGATCATGGACGTACGAGCGACTTCCATGACCATGCCAATGCGGCGCTCGGCAATCCCATTTTGCTGTGGAGAGGCCGGAAGCATGAAGGTCTGGCGGATGCCCTATGCACGAGAGAAGGCTACCAGAAGGGCAGAGGAAAACTCCCCGCCTCTGTCACAGTGCGGACGCAGAATAGGAAAGTCCGAGCCGAAACTCTCTCTGAGCTGGAGACGAGCTGCGCGGATCTAGTCGATCAACACCCCAGTGACGTCACCCTTGCTGCGCCAGGGGAACATCGTGGTGCAACGCGAGTAGTTGTGAACCACCAACAGGAAGTAACCCCTATGTCCTTGTCCACCGACGCAAACGTGGTCCCACACGTCCATGTGGAGAGTCTGCAGCGGAGCCTCTGTCGGAGGAAACTCGGAGGAGTAAGGGGCGGCGCGCTGTCGCCCCTCGATGCAGGGGACGTAGGTAGGGGCAGGCCCCGAAGGTAGGGGAGGGAGAGACCGGGGGAGACCATAGACAAGGACACGGGAGGCCATGCCTTGGAGTCGAGGCAGGGAGGGGTGACCAAGGCGGTGGTGCGAAAGGAGAGTCTGGTGGGACACGAGACGACATGAGCAGGGAGCAGACTCAGGACCAGACCTGGACGCTGCAGCAAATACCTGACTCGACGCAGCTACCTGGCCAAACTCACCAGCCGGAGGAGACTCAGTAGTAAGGGTGTACAGGCTCGACCCTGGCCGACGGGTGAACGTGGCCAAGTGTCGGCCTGTCTGAGCACACGTGCAGTGGGTCACCCGCTGACTCGCAGGAGTGAACTGGTCAACCCCCCTATCCTGTAGGTCCGCTCCACTCACCAAGTTCGTAGAGAACGAGGGGAGGCAGAGACCTGACAGGGTGCTAGAGGGGGCTGCCGGGCACGGGAAGACAGTGGAGAAGCTAACAAGGACAAGACCCCCAGAGGGGTCCGCCAGGGAGACTGCAACCGGCCGACTAAGCGGCGTAAGAGTGATGCGGTCTTGAAAGAAGGAGCGGGACGCACCCGAGTCAAGGGTGAAGGTGTGTAAGGACTGAGCCGACGTAGTACCTGAGAGAGCAGACTCATCGGCACCTGGGGCAGCAGACGCACTAGCACCTTGGGCAGCAGACGCACTAGCACCTGGGGCAGCAGATGCACTAGCAGCTAGAGCAGCAGCCTCACCAGCACCTAGAGCAGTCGCCTCAATGCCCGGGTCAGGCGGTACACACAGGTAACAGTCACCCTCAACAATAGCAGTCACAGAATACATGGCAGCAAGGATAGCATCATAGTCAAGATCAAAGATGGCAACCCCCGGTCTAGACAGATCTCCCCAGCGAAGGATCTTTGACGCCTCAGGGAACTGGCGACGCCACGCGTTCGTCAGGTGACCGAAGCAGCGCTGGGTGGAGTGCGGGCCCCCGCACTGCTCACCAGCTCGGTCGGCGGTACGGAGGACATAAGTGCAGGGACCAGTACCCGCACCGTGCTGACGAAGCTGGTGAGGGGACAGAGTCACACCACCCCGCTGCTGCTGGCGCGGACCACCACCTGACCCACTCCTCTGCGCAGAGTCGCGACCCGCTCCACCATTACCGCCGTCGCCACCTCCGCCGCCTCCTCCACCTCTTCCTCCTCCGCCACCTCCACCGCCTCCGCTCCCTCCGCCACCACCTCCGCCTCCTACGCCTCCACTGCTGCCGCCGCCACCGCCACCCCCGCCACCACTCCCACCACCACCCCCACCCCCTCCACTGCCTCCACCACTACCTCCACCGCCCCCACCAGCCCCTCCAGCGCCATTGCCCCCCTTGCCCTTGCCGGTGCTGCGTCTCCCGCTAGGGGCAGACGCAGCGCCGACCGACCTGAAACCAACGAGGTCGGCCGCAGCAGCAGAAGCAACAGAGGGCAAGAGGGGGGAGGGGGAACACCCCTCAATGACGGGGATGCGAAGGTCACCACGAGAGGCTCCTACAGCGACTCTGTTCTTTTCTGCTGCTAGGAGGCCCTTCTCGAGGAGGCTCCGCACCCCCACGCTCCACACCCCCAGGCTCCGCTTCCCAGACTCAGCACCCCCAGGCTCAGCACCCCCAGTCTCAGCACCCCCAGGCTCAGCACCCCCAGAATTAGCACATGCAGGCTCAGCACCTCCAGACCCGGCACATGCAGGCTCAGCACCTCTTGCAGCACCGGAGTCAACAGCAACCTAGATTAGCTCGATTGCGTCTTCCTGGGACACACCTACGAGGCAGGAATTTGAGGGGGGAGGGGGTCTACTGGGGGAGGACCTGGCACAAGGAAGAGCGGCGGCGAGAGAAGGGTCGCAGCGCGGTAGGGGAAGAGACGGTACTAAGGCACCGATTTGTTAAAGGTGACGTCCTGGGAGGACAGAACACGGCGCGAGGTGGGGTGGTAAAACTGCCACCCAGGCGCGTCAGGGGGGAAGCCGAGGAAGACGCAGGGAACAGCACGGGGGGACAGCTTGTCCTCAAACAAGTCGCGGAAAAACGCCCGAGATCCCCAGACCCGAAACGCAGACGCATCGCCAACCTTCCCTGTCCACCGCAAGGTGGGGGAGGTCTCTGGCAAGGAGACCCGGGGCTGAAGGTTGAGCTGATGCGCCGCGTACTGAACTACAAACGGCCACAGAAAATGGGGGCAGCCGCATGGATCATGGACGTACGAGCGACTTCCATGACCATGCCAATTCGGCGCTCAGCAATCCCATTTTTCTATGGAGAGGCCGGAAGCGTGAAGGTCTGGCGGATGCCTTGTGCACGACAGAAGGCTCCCAGAAGGGCGGAGGAAAACTCCCCGCCTCTGTACGAGTGCAGACGCAGAACAGGAAAGTCCGAGCCGAAACTCTCTTTGAGCTGGAAACGAGCTGCGCGGATCTAGTCGATCAACACCCCAATGATATCACCCTTGCTGCGCAAGGGGAAGACTGTGGTGTAACGCGAGTAGTTATGAACCACCAACAGGAAGTAAAGCTTGTGTCCCTGTCCATCGACGCGGGCGGGGCCCCACACGTCCATGTGAAGAGACTGCAGCGGAGCCTCTGTCGGAGGAAACTCGGAGGAGTGAGGGGCGTCGTGCTGTCGCCCCTCGACGCAACGGACGTGTTATAGTCACAGTAGGCTGCAATGTGCCTAAAACGAAAGATAGAGTGCAGAGTCGGATTTCTGCACAGCGGCTTCAAACGATCATATCGTTCTGGTCAGAACTTCAAATGACTTGATTCAACTTGGATCTGGAGCGTCTTCTTGTCGCCTACAATAGGAAGTTTAGATCGCACTATCTGACCAAGTATTGACGACACAGCACTGGTTTGAACGAACGGCACTATGGCAGCCACTATAGTCTTAGAACACAAGATAGGAAGAAGTTAGGAAGAGTTACGAGTTGGGAATGACTCCCAGCTCCTACAAACCCCAAGAGCCAAGGTACAGTAATGTGGAACAGTGCCACACTGTCCCCAACCACGAAGGGTCTCGAAACTACCCTTCACTAGGGCCTACACCAAGTGAAATGTTACACTACACAAAGTAATGTAACTATATTCAATATCTTGAGGTGCACCCTTTTGGCGAGCTTCGAAATCACTCGAGGCCTGACACAAAGGCTCGGGCTCTTCATCACAAACTCATCCTTGGGTTCTTGATGGGTCTTCTGCACACACCTGCGACACGCCGAACGTTCGACACAGGACAAAATAGAAACCGCGCGCGAGACACAAACAACCGCGTAACACGCGTCTAGCGATATCTCGCTATTGACTCGACACACACACTCGACATCATGACTCAACATTCACACACAATTATAAGCATGAAATATATATTATCCCATGCCCTCATGCCATTCCATACACACACACATGCACGCACACGGACAACAAGCCGAGTGCAAACCGTAGGGTTGCACCAACAGGACGTAGGTAGGGGCACGCCCTCGAGGTAGGGGAGGGAGAGACCGGGGGAGACCATAGACAAGGACACGGGAGGCCATGCCTCGGAGACGAGGCAGGGAGGGGTGACCAACCTTGCTCAGCTGTAGGAGGAGACTTAGCAGTAAGGGTGTACAGGCTGGAACCTTGCCGACGGGTGAACGTGGCCAAGTGTCGGCCTGTCCGAGCACACGTGCAGTCGGTCACCCGCTGACTCACAGGAGTGAACTGGTCAATCCCCCTATCCTGTAGGTCCGCTTCACTCACCAAGTTCGTAGAGAACAAGGGGAGGTAGAGACCTGACAGGGTGCCAGAGGGGGCTGCTCGGCCCGGTAAGATAGTGAAGAAGCTAGCAAGGACACGACCCCCAGAGGGGTCAGCGAGGAAGACTACAACCGACCGACTAAGCGGCGTAAGAGTGATGCGGTCTTGAAAGAAGGAGCGGGACACACCCAAGTCAAGGGTGAAGATGTGTAAGGCCTAAGCCGACGTGGTACCTGAGAGAGCAGACTCACAAGCACTTGGGGCAGCAGACGCACTAGCACGTGGGGCAGCAGACGCACTAGCACCTAGAGCAGCAGCCTCACCAGCACTTAGAGCAGTAGCCTCAATGCCCGGGTCAAACGGTACACACAGGTAACTGTCACCCTCAACAATAGTAGTTACAAAATACATGGCAGCAAGGATAGCATCATAGTCAAGATCAAAGATGGCAACCCCTGCCAAAGACATATCTCCCCAGCGAGGGATCTCTGACGCCTCAGGGAACTGGCGATGCCACGCGTCCGTAAGGCGACTGAAGCCGGGCTGGGTGGAGTGCGCGCCCCCGCACTGCTCATCAGCTCGGTCGCCAGTACGGGGGACGTAACTGCAGGGACCAGTACGCCCGCCGCGTTGACGAAGCTGTTGAGGGGACAGAGTCACACCACTCAGCTGTTGCTGGCGCGGACCACCACCTGAGCCACTCCTCTGCGCAGAGGCGCGACCCGCTCCACCGCCGCCGCCGCCACCGCCTCGGCCGCCTCCTCCACCTCTGCCTCCTCCGCCATCTCCGCCGCCTCCGCTCCCTCCGCCACCACCTCCGCCTCCTCTGCCTCCACTGCTGCCGCTGCCACCGCAACCCCTGCCATCACTCCCACCACCACCCCCACCCCCTCGTCTGCCTCCACCACTACCTCCACCGCCCCCGCCAGCCCCTCCCGGAAGGGGCAGACGCAGCGCCGACCGACTTGAAACCAACGAGGTCGGCCGCAGCAGCAGAAGCAATAAAGGGCAAGAGGGGGGAGGGGGAACACCCCTCAAAGACGGGGGTGCGAGGGTCACCACGAGAGGCTCCTACAGCGACTATGTTCTTCTCTGCTGCTAGGAGGCCCTTCTTCAGGAGGTCAACGGTGAGAGTGGTGGGGCAAACTGAGAGGAAGTGGTCCTTGACTACGCGGAGAGAGTCAGGGAGTCGGGTGACTATGTAGTAGAGGGTGATGTCCATGGGGGGGGGAGTTCTTGGGGCAGAACTCAGCAGGAAGCGCAGCGCGGTAGCGAGTGTCATTAGTGCGGAGGTGCGTAATGAGGTCATCAACTATGGGAAAGGCAGCAAGGTCAGGGAAGAGGTACGGTAGCATGAGGCAGCTCAGTGCAGCAGTGGCAGGGGAAGAGTAGCGTGCAACTACAGCGTCGTACAAGGTCTGAGCTCTCTTGTACTCGCTAAAGTGTGCACGCTCAGTGGTTTGTAAGTGGCGATGCACAGCAAGACGGGCTGCAGCATCGCGTGTCGCCCACTATGAGCGAAAAGTGCTCTCAGCAGTAGCAGGCGGGGCAGGGGAGGCACCAGAGGTGAGGTCGAACAGAGAGAGGCCGTCTGCCCTATCGCAGTGGAGGAACGCAGTGGAGGTCATCGACCCAAACCTCAAGGTGAACGGCACGGCCCTTAGCATCAAAAGTAAGGACTCTGGGGTTAGCCATGACTGCAGTTTCCTAGTAGGGAGTGAGCTCACAAGTAGGAATAGCAGCAGATCGACACTGGGGCGGTTTGGCGGCTGGGCGGCTAGACTGCTGGGCGGCTCGGCTGCAGGGCGGCTCGGCTGCTCGGCTGCTGGGCGGCGCGGCTGCTGGGTTGCTCGGCTGCTAGGCTGCTTGGCGGCTCGGTCGCTGGGCAGCTGAGCGGTGACAGGGCTGGTAGAGGCGGTGACGTGGCCGCTAGGGGAGGGCGATGGGGCCACAGGTGACAGCGACGGGGCCGCAGGTGGTGGCGAGGCCGCAGGTGGCGGCTGAATGGCCGCAGCTGACGGCGATGGGGCCGCAGGTGGCGGCTGCGTGGCCGCAGTTGGCGGCGACGAGGCCGTAGGTGGTGGCGACAGGGCCGCAGGTGGCGGCGGGATGGCCGCAGGTGATGGCGACGGGGCCGCAGGTGACGGCGATGGGCCTGCAGGTGGCGACGACGGGGCCGTAGAGGGGCCGCAAGGAGCCGCAACGGGGCCGCAGAGGGTCCGCAAGGGGTCTAGACGGGGCCGTAGAGGGGCGGCACGGGGCCTAGACGGGGCCGCATGGGGCCTAGACGGGGCGGCGATGGGGCCGTAAGGGGCCCAGAGGGAGCGGCGACGGGGCCGTAAGGGGCCTAGACGGGGCGGGTGACGGGGCCGTAACGGGTCTAGACCGGGCGGCGACGAGGCCGTAAGGGGCCGTAAGGGCGCCGCGAGGGGGAGCGGGGGGGGGGGGGGGGGGGGGGGGGGGGCCACGGGCGTCGCGAGGGGCCGTAAGGGCGGCGCAAGGGTCCGTAGAGGGCGGCGCGAGGGGCCGTAAAGGGCAGCGTAAGGGGCCATGAGAAGGGCCGCTAAAGGCGACGGTAGGGAGGGCACACAGAGCGCAACTCGGACAGGAGCGAAGCGCGCTCCAGGCAGGAAAAAAAAATCGTGGTGGGCTCTAGGAATCGTTCCCACTAGGGAACCTGCTCGATACCATGATAAGAAACAAGGAATGAATGCATTGAGCAGAATGAGGAGTACAAGTAGTAAACCCTAAAGTGTTGTACCCCATATGAACTGCCCCACTACAGCCTACACAGACTATAGCATATATGCCTGACATCAAGCCGAACACGATGCACCAAAATTTTCGACGGGTCGAGTGTCGGTTTAGGGACAGGCCGAGCTGTTGGGGCGGTGCTCTAACGCATGCTGTCTGTCGTGGCTGGGACGCACTTGCGAAGGAGGCTGATATGGAAGGCGCCATACATATGCGAGTCGTCGAGTTGCAGCAGCTTCGCATCGCAGTGATAGGTGTCCAGGGTCGTCGCTAGCAGACCATTTTTGTCTGTTTGGCTGATATTCAGACATGTTTTTTCCTGATTAATCTTATGGGTTAGTCACCATCAGACACAACATTTTTTTTGCCCAGAGGACACGTTTGATGCATCAGACGTCCCTTAGACCCTAGCGACGACCCTGCAGATGTCACCATCTGGAGGATACAAAATGGCCCACAAAATCGTGGCCGGAGCTTGTTCGAGCCGGGCAGGCGGAGATTTTTCGTGTCGAGCAGCACTAGTTGCCCAGCTGTCATGACGATTGCTCATTGTAGAAGATCCGTGTATTTCGGTGCAGTAGTATTAGGGTACATTTCTGTGTGGACACTTGTGTCTCAATGCCCGTTTTCCCGAGTCGCTTCTGTAAAAATACAAATTTACGCATTAGAATCACCTGATGTATCGCGACATTCTGCAACAGAAAACCAAGTACACATGGCCGAATTTGATTGGCTCGTCCCATTGCGCCCGAGTTTTGGATGTTTGGCGCTGGGCACGTCTGTGAACAATTTGCGTCTGCTATGAAACACCAAACACCTTGTTCAAGGCAGCAAAGTGCGTCACGGCATCACCTACAAATGCACAACGATCATCGTCTGCTGCTTCTCCTTAACTACCACATCGCACACACGCTGCAGCCCTGGCTGTGGTTGCACTCATGGCGGGTCCTCGTGCTATCCCATTTCTCATATGCCTTCTCGTCGCATGGATCACATTCTACTATACCATTTTTATGGAAGTAGTAGGACGGGCTGTCGGCGACATGCTGGAAGCCGATGTCTTCGACAGCGACCACTCCACGGCAGAGAGCTCTCACAGCTCCAACTGGACGGCCCGAGCAAAAGAGGAGGGCACATCTGCGTCGCTACGAGCTGCTAGGCGAAGACTGTCAGAATATTATGCTCTAGCCTGTAGTGGGGTGCTCTATAGCGAGTACAACCCTTCTAGGGTTTGCTATTTGTATCATCATTCTTGCTAGTGCAACCCTCTTCTTTCTTCTAAACTTCAACATGCTATCAGAGCAAGTCGATCCCCTTGGATCGATCCTGTGGGTGGGCTTACCACCTCCTTGCTTCCGCTGCAACTGCTACCACTACCCTCGGTGCCGCACGCCCCGTGGCGTGTGGCAGTTTTTCTTCCCGCCGTGCGCCCCGAGGCGCGCGGCGGTTTTCTGCCCGCCGTGCGCCCCGAGGCGCATGGCGGTTCTCTGCCCGCTGTGCGCCCCGAGGCACGCGGCGTGCTTCGGCCCCGTCATTCGGCGCGTTGCCCTCGGGAGGCGCCGCGACGTGCGACGGGGACCCACGCATCGCCCCCCGTCGCCCGTCGTGGGCTGCGCCAGGCCTGCGCGCGGCCCGTACAGGCAGTGCGCGGCCCGTACGGACTGCGCTAGGCCCGCGCGCGGCCCGTACGGGCTGCGCCAGGCCTGCGCGCGGCCCGTACGGGCGGCGCCAGGCCCTGCGCGCGGCTCGGATGACGGTACCAGGCCCGTGGTGGGCCCGTTCCTTGCTGCCCCTGCCCTCCCCGCTGTCCCCCAGTGCTTCTACTAGCGCCCCACCCCTCCTACTCCCCATTCTCCTGAATTAGGGTTTGGGGTGAGGGGTATGGGGGTGCACCCACTGTGTGCCGTTCCCTGCTCCTCCTCCTCCTTCATCTCCTTGTGCTGCAGCTGCCGCTGAGGGGGGGTTGGACTTGTTGGAGCCGGTGGAGTGGTACTAAAGGGGGGTGAAGGGGGAGTGGAGCTAGGGGTGTAGCAGTGGGTGTATGAGAGGGGTGTTGGGCAGCTGGGGGAGGTTGAGTGGAGGCAGCAGTCTTGTCGTTAGCAGCAGCAGCAGTCTGGAGGCTACAATCTCCGGTAGTCGCCAGACGCCCGTGGGTATGTTGCTCGTCTGCCGCTACTTTTAGCTGCGGGGCCAGTTACTCCAGTAGTCTGGAGCGCTGTTTCGGTAGCCACTGAGCCAGCAGCTCGTCTGTGTATCTGCAGTGTTAGCAGTCGCCTCCCATCTTCTCTCCCCCATAGTCCCTCCTCCTCCACACATGCCCTCTCCGATAGCCACTAGCTTTGCTCATAATTGTGAACTTAAACTATTGCTTCTTGAACTTGTGCTTAGAATGTGTGGTGACATTGTGATCCACCCTGAGCTTGTACTACTTTGCTTGCTCTGCTGATTACACCCCACTTTGGCTATGGGGGTGTGTCAGAATATTATGCTCTAGCCTGTAGTGGGGTGCTCTATAGCGAGTACAACCCTTCTAGGGTTTACTATTTGTATCCTCATTCTTGCAAGTGCAACCCTCTTCTTTCTTCTAAACTTCAACAAAGACCTGCATGGCATGGGCGACACGGAGTTCGGGGATCTCTTCACGATTAATCATGCCATTCTAGCGTACATTGTCACGGGAATGGCGTACTACATGCTGCCCTACGTTGAGCGATGCTTCATCTCGCACTGTCAAAAGACTTGCACTGTGAGATCCCCGATTGATCCTTGGGGGGTTACATGCCTGTTAGCCTGGGGGTTTATGGGCGTACTGACCCGCTACTGAAACAAGCCCTTTTATCCCAATGGTCTAGTGGTTGGGATTCCGACATGGTATCAAAGCAGTCTCGAGTTCGAATCCCGGTGTATGCACATGCAAGCCGATGCCGCTGTGCCGAGTCCTGGACCTCCCAGTATGGGGGGGTGTCAGAAGACTTGCACTGTGAGATCCCCGATTGATCCTTGGGGGGTTACAGGCCTATTAGCCTTGGGGGTTATGGGCGCACTGACCTGCTACTGAAACAAGCCCCTTTATCCCAATGGTCTAGTGGTTGGGATTCTGACACGCATGACGTCGCGAACTTGGTAGAAATTAAGTACCTGGCCAGTGGTATGGCATATGTGGACCTTGTAACCTATTTCGAGCTGTCGAAGACCCTTTGTCATGCACTCGTCGACGTGTGGTTGATGCACTTCCCGAGCATCGTCATGCAGCAATGGGTGCACCTCCCGACTCCAGAAGACCTCGCCGAGATGGCCGTGGAGTTCCGTGTCGTCAAAGGAGTACTTGCGGTGGTTGGGGCTATAGATGGGATGGACATAAACATAAAAGGGATGGAAGGGCACAGACAAGAGTTCTACACGAGAAAGACGGCGTACGCAGTCCAACTACAGCGCACACGTGATGCGCGTGGCATCTTATGGGATTACCTGATCGAGTACCCACGGAGTGCACATGACCAAAGGGTGTTCATGGACAGTGCTTTACAA